ACAAGGGGAGAACGGCAGAGCGGTTGATTCAGTTAAGGTAAAAAACTAAGCTGTCTGACTAGATACCAAGAACTGCAGGGCGGGGGCAAGGACGTAGAAGATGTAAGACGAAAGGAAGGACCACTCGAAGTGGGCCGGTTTGACTACACTTGTCAAGGGAGTGAGCCGGAATTTATAAGGCACACAGTACTGGAAGGCTCCCAAAATTTCAACCATGCTGTTTTAACCACGCTAAAATTTCAACCTAGCACCAATGACACAGTGGGGCTCAAACCTAACCAGTGGGCTCGAACCACATTGCGCGAAATTAGCAAGAAAATTTAGTACCTATGACACAGCGCGGCTCGAACTCGGGCCCAATGGGTGCCAGCCCATTATTCTACCACTGAGCCACGCCGACGCTTGGGACTTGTTGACAAACTTGTCCAAGGCAGGCTTGATGTCGAGAAAGCAATCAGGTTAATATGAGTTATAAAGCGTTTTAACACAGCTAAAGATCAAGCAGCCGTCGCCGAATGCGAATAGCGTAAAAAGTGTGTCGTCCTATGCTCCAACCAATTACAAAAGCTTGTTTTTGTTCAGCTATTAACTGTGGCACATACCCACTTCAGCCATAATTCCTCATCGTCGTCAGCCACTGCATTGGCACGAAATTCACCGCAATAGTTTAGAAGCTTGCTAAGCAAGGTTGTTATGCTCACGCCTCCCCTGGCAGCAGCGGCGGCCGCCACCCGCGTGTACTCTTCTCCAGTCGCCACTCAAAGCGTCCACTCCAGTGATTTTTATTTATGTTTTTTTTTTCTTGCTACAGTGGTCACAGACACCAGCAGTGGCGGACAATTGCGGCGCCTGAATCGGTTTCTTTTTCTGATGTCATAACAGCTGTCACTGTAAAAAAAAAATAGCACTTGTGGTTTCTTTGACTTCTCTCTTGTGTACGTGTTTGCACACCCAGTATTTTAACATGAACGCCCACCGACTAGCTTAGCTTTCTGCTCCCCTAAGTTGCTACTTCACCTCACTGAAACACAATCATAAAGCTTGCTTTGTTTCTGAAACAAGGAACTTAATCTCTTTCATACAAATTGGGAATCTTCGCAATGAATGGCTTTCCATTTTGCTCCACATAGATGAAGAAGGACATTCTTCTAAGAATCCTCACGATAAATGAAGGAAAAAAGCGGACACTTAAGGTTCGTTTTGTTTTCTTCTTAAAAACCCTCAAATTTCCACTTCTTTCCAACCGCAGACGCGTACACCGAACACAACGGAGCATGATGACAGGCCTACATTGTGTCCGCTTCGTGCGGGACACTGCGACACACTTTGCATACAAATGAAAACGGGGCCAGTTTTACATCGATGCGAGGGACGTTTGTTATTGCGTGCTGGTGATGTGCTTACGTAAGCACTTATATGAGGCTATAACTATGTAGAGCAATAACAAAAAAAAGGCAGTCTGAGGTCCATGCAGACGTAGGAAGGGACAAGCGTCGTCGCGATTCAGTGCCTTCAGTGCCTTCACTGACACTGCGTATATATTACTGCCGGGACTTTTCCCTCCCCTCCGTATCACCGTCCCATTCACCGAGCGAGCGTGGAGGAGTTGCCGATTAGCGATAGCTTTGACGATGAGATCAGTTGGTTCGATAGGGCACGCAGGGTGGCAACCACAGTGTTGCAACCACCTGTATCGTTCTGTACTGAGGACAGCCAGCACTGCTAGATGACACTTGCGGACTAGCTGGCCCCGCAACACGAAATCCTTTCGGTTAATATATGTTTTTTTTTTCATTCGTCCTTCCCATTCTTAGACACATTCTTAGAAGAATGACGAAAAAAAGCAGAGCGAATGCCGGCCTGCTACCCTAAAATTTTTAATATTAAGACTGTTGTGGGTATCAAGCAAGTGTGCCTGCAGCAGTCGTCCGATGAGTGTTAAGAAAAGGCTCTGTGAAAGGCCGCTCGTCTAGATTTCGTATATAGTGACTGTGCTGCACCTTGACCAGGAAATCTTACACCAGGAAATCTTACAAATGGAATAACGACTGTGACTGCATTGACCTGCGGAGGCAAACGCATATTTAAAAGTGTCCCTTCTTTTATTCATTTCCTTACGCCTCAGTACCGGCGGAGCTTTAATAGCTTTTCCACGAAACTAAGACAGCGAATATCTTCGAAGTAGCGGGAGATGTCGATAAACCAAACGTTATTAACTAAGACTGAACTCTCGAATTACAACTAGACGGGGCTAGAAAGCACAAAAAAAATAAACAAAGCACGAAAGGACATCGTCCTGGATCGCGCGCTACCCCAATATAGCGCGCGCGGGCCAAGCGAGCTCGACCCTTGCGCATCCCGACATATCCAGCAAGTTAGCGCTGTCCAGATTAGTCTGCCACAGAAGGCTGACCAAGAACACGTATACAGCAATGCCGTATGGCTCCTGGAGACTGAGACGGAGATTAAAAGACGATGGACTCCTTGGTCGAGCGGCTGCAATCATCTTTCGAGGAAGCGAGTCACTTTGAATTTACACTTCCTCTTCACGTCCCAGCCGAAGTGCTCCGAGGTGGAAATGCGTTCGGACGTGCGTGCCCCGTTATAGTTGAACACGCGCACACAGCTTCAGTCGGTCCGTATACCTCTTTCCGTTTTGTCCGCAACAGCGCGACGACCACGTTATTTTTTTCACGCGCGCGACTCGGTTCAGAAGGAGCCGTCTTGTTCGTATACCTGCCACCGAAGCAGCCCGGGGGGAAGGCCCGCCGTTTGGCGGCCAAAACACACCCCGCTTTCTGTTTTTTTTTTCTCCACGGCCGCACAGCTCGGCTCATTCTTGAAGCGGAGACTTCAAGTCGTCTCGCTTTGGGTGTTGTCTGGCGTGGCGAACCGTTAAAGAGTGCGAAGAGAAGCCGGCGAGAGCTCTTTTAGCCCTCGTCACCGGCCAACTCGGCGGCTGCCAGCCCAGACGGTGCAAATTGAACCGTGCCTCTTCTGCTCAGCTGCGGCCCTCACCCGGTCTATCAGAGCAGCATTGCGGAGGATGCATGTGGTACAAGCGCTGCCGCGGAGTCGACGTATGCATATTTCCACCACTAAGCGTTAGGAACCGTTTCGTTACGTTCTCATCCAGTAGTAGCCAATGGCAGATGTACTACGCGGCCAATAATAAAGAGAAGAAATAAATGGAGAAACGTCCCATCCCAGCGACTCTTCAATAACTGCTTAAATATTTTCGCTCGCACGGGCACGGCTACCTGCAAGTTAGAAGGTCTCAATGAGAAATGAGACTGCTAAGAAAAGAAATTATATCGCTTACTTTACTAGCAGGGAGTAAAATAGAGAGAAGACGAGAATAACGGCAGAGAGTTCAACCAGGTGAAACAGTCTGGTTAACTACTAAGCTATGACATATGGAGCAAGGTCCTGAAAGATCAACAGAAAATAAGAAAACAATAAAGTTATCCCTCAATCTCACGTTTTAAAAGAGGTCAGAAAAGCTCGCCACAAGAAAGACTCATACCTTACCATATAGCCCTCTGTTCCCTTTTTTTTTTCTTCAACTCATTAGGCCAGTGCAGGATAGCAAACCTGACGTGCGACTGTTCCCCATTTCGTTAGGTCTCTCTCACTCTGGTTTTATGCAAAAGATAAAAAAGCAATTTACTGTTTATTCCTAATTATACAGTGGCTTGCATTACCAAATTAGCAAGGCTATGGCGGCTTAATTGTTTTACCTAAGCGGTTATCATAGCCAGTTGTGTTATATAGTATAATTTATCTATTGTAACGGTGCATAGCAGTGCCGACAGTGTTACTCCAATGTTGCTGCGGCTTCCCACTGTGACAGTAGTGGGAAATCACAGATGTAAAATCATCACTGTTATTCGAAACCATTGCCGGACATGGGCCACATTCCCATGCAATGGTTTTTCTTAATCCATATTTACTTACAATTACCCGCAGCCCTGTACTACATCTGCAATTACAGCGAACACATGTGGTAGGCTCTCTCTTTCTTTCTCATTTTGCATGGATAAATGTGATAATGATTATCCTTGTCCGATAAGTTCTGCGGTTTGTATTACCAGTGAAGCAGCATTTATCGCATTGTAACCTCCAGCGCCACATGCTTGAGCAACGAATGTCAGGCATCAGCCATTATTTATGTTTGTTTTTTCACCAATTGCCTGACCTCGATATCGAACGATCTCATCATGTATAATGAGAGTCCTTGACTTTAAATTTTCGTCAGTATTGTTAATAGGAACGTGACGCTCAGTTTCACAAAAGTCACGAAATATGAACAATCACAGCAATCTAGCTTAGCATGCTCTGGTGGGCAAGCGGTTGCACTCAGAATTTCATCAAAAGAGAACAAAAGAAAGAAAATACATTTAAAACATACGCAAAGTGGCAGATAAGGGATAAGGTCTATTACGGATCAGGTATTTAGCTGGGAATCCAAACACATCATTGTTGCGTGCTTGGCAATCAGATCATGGTCTTCGGATCCCAAGAATGAAAATGATCCTAAATGTGCCTATATTCCAAAACAATAGTTCTAGTAGATAGTTCTCAACAACTCTTTGATAAGCTCTTCTTGTTCGCACTGTTGAAAGCGCCTGTATCTCCCCGCACAGCAGGTGCCATCCAAATATCGCGGTAACCCCGCTCCACGCGTGCAGCTCCCGTACGCAATGCCCGGCTCGTGAAAAAGGGAGGTCCTTTCCAGTGACTAAAATTAGCAGCTCTTCTTTGTCGCTGCTGACTCGCCGCTGCGTTCTCCATCTTCTAGCGCGCCGAACCACCTTTCGTCTGGACGTCGAAAGAAAAGGGGGGCAGCAGACACGCACGAGTCTGCCGCGCGCGATGCCCGGCGGCGGCCGAGGCAAGGTGGCCGTACGCGGCACGAGCAGCGGCGGCATCGTATGATGCACAAGCTGGTAATTTACGATGGCGAGAGCGTGGCCAAGACCGGAACGGTGAGCCACTACCGTGGTACGTCTGCCGGGCCCTCGGAGCTATCGGGACTCGGGAGGTCCGCTCTGAGTAGACGGCGGCAACTGAAGAGGCCATCGTTGCTGCTCGCCTTGCCGAGCAAGAGCAAAGGCGCTGGGGGCTGACAGACACCGGAGAAAGTTGAGTGACCTTCGCCGGAGAAGCCACACGTGTTGGGGAACCGCTCGTCCTGGTCGTCGGCGACGCGGAGTGGGCAACGCTGAATCTGACGGTCACGGGCCCCAAGACCCATCTGTGGGCTCTTGGGGAATATGGGTTGCGCGTCGCAGATCGAGCACCGTGTCTGTTTTGCATCGGTAATGAGGACCTTTACATTCGCGATTCAATTCAATGCGTGCCTTGCACGACATTGGAGATCTCGTCCTATAGCCCCCTACGGGTGGAGGTTTCCCTCGCATGCCCGGCAGTAGGTAATCCTATATCTGTATTCGAATCACGGGGCGTGACTTGTGAATATCGTGGTACCACGCTGCAAATAGGCAAATCAGGATCCTGTACTCGCCTGGCATTCGAATCAAACTCCACTGATCACGGGTTAAGCGTCTTCGCTTTTTGTTCTTTCTTTTTTTTTCGAGCTCCTGGCATCGAAACAAGCCTGTGCACCGGTTTGCTATAATTAATCTAGGCTTACGTTATACCTAGTCTTGTCGATTATGTTGACTTGATCTTTAGACTGGACCAATAACACCGTGGATAGGCATACACTGGGCTTGGGTTACTTAGTTTTCCGGCATAGAGGCAGATGGCTTGTCTTCTGGCTTAACTTTGCCTATAGTGTATAAATAAGCTGGGCTGTCATCTCTGGCAAATTCACGCTGTATGTGCTTCAAGGTATTTGCCTGCATGTGGCTTCAGCGTTGCGCCTGATGCCGGAAGTCGACGTTTAGATTAAAATTTCGGCTGTTGCGACGGACTTCATAAGCGATTAGTGAATCGCTGGGTCACCAACTCGCAGCGGCTCTCACGAAATCCAAAGCGCTACCTCTGCGAATAGCAAAACCAACAAGTTGGCGACACTGTCGACTCAGGCATGCTCTACAATAGGAGACACAGCGGTGTTTCCTGTCAGCCTTCTCACGCCAACGCCGCAGGCATTGATCACGCTCGCGTGCGTTGTTACGCACTTGAGCGTGTTCTGATTGATTGATTGATTGATTGATTGACTGATTTGTGGGGTTTAACGCCCCAAAACCACTATGTGATTATGAGAGACGTCGTAGTGGAGGGCTCCGGAAATTTCGACCACCTGGGGTTCTTTAACGTGCACCCAAATCTGCATGAGTACACGGGCCTACAACATTTCCGCCTCCATGGGGAAATGCAGCCGCCACAGCCGGGATTTGATCCCGCGACCTGCGGGTCAGCAGCCGAGTACCTTAGCCACTAGGCCACCGTGGCGGGGCGTGTTCTGATACACTACCTTATGCGCTCATACCATCCTCTTTCCGTATGTCAGTCTCAACTTAACCCTGACCTTTGTGAACGCAGTGATCGAATTAAGTTATCCAGTCGCTAGCATAGTACTCGCCAAGGAGGGTCACCTCCAAATCCACATGTCATCGTACGGCCGATGTCTAACAAGGCATCGTTGGCACTATACGCTTTGTGAACTAAGCTATATTGCCACGTAAACGGAGAACATGCAGTTGCGGATGTGCTATTGTGATTTTATCAGCCAAAGCGCCTACGTGAAAGGCAGTTACCACAACGTGGACAAGCTCCGATCGCAAGACCTGGCCATGGATGACACACATATAGACTCACTCCCCGTCCTCCAGCCTCCCCTTACTCCATTTGCTACACCAATAGGCTACCTAGATTTCACTGGAAAGATGGCTGTAATCCCGCGGTGTAATGTAATATTGCATTTCTTGCATGTCCGAGCAAATAATGTTTTAAACACATTCGCATCCTCTCGAGTCCTTGTGGGAGCCATAACGATTGCTCTCTTTCACAAGTCTACACCTTACACAAAGAGAAAGCCAGAAAACATTAGGTTTTTCTACGCCGCATAAAGACTACAGCCTCACTCACCCAGATCCTGTTTTATCTAGCATCAGGTCACCTCGTATGAAGTTGCGAATACCTGACACCGTTATTTGCAGCCGCTTCACAGCTGCTAGAGAAGTGTACAGCGCAAGCGCTTTGCACTCTGCGCAACCGCGAAAGCTACAGCCAGCAATACAGATTCCATGGCGCACCGAGTGAGTCGCTCGGCGTGAGATAATTTGTTTGACAGCCGCCGTGACGGGAAAGTTCATTTCGTTTTCTCTTTGGACCTTGTTGATACATAGCGCGTAAAGCCAGCATTTCGACGTGTTATCGTGCTAACATCACGCCTGTTTTCCTTTTTTTTTTACTTCCTTTAATGACAGCTCCAGAATCGAAAGCACGTCGCCTTTTTCTGTCACGATGGCGCAAGGAGGCCTAAAGAACTGTTCACGGCCAAGATAAAACACACCGGGGAGACGACCCCTGGAGCTACTCGAAAGTACTTCACTCTCGCCTTCACTCTCGCCTTCACTTCACATTTCTACTTCGTCGCCACAGGCAGAAAACGTCACACAGAAAAGAAGATAAGACATACGTAACATCAAACCTAAAGAAGTGATAAAGCGAGAGAGAAGAAGAAAAAAAAAAACGAGAGCACATCCTCTCCCTCCTGTCGTGACGAGAATTACCTGCGCGAAAGATGACAACTCAAGGTCTCTCCGAGACGCCGAGGAGGACCGCCATATGCGCACTTGCTCTCAAGGTTCCAATCAGATTATGCCCCTGTTTTCTGCGGCACTGGTTTTCTATACAACGCTGTCATTCCTGTTTATAATGCGATCTGCTCGCTCCAGCGCGTTTCTTACCGCGGCAGCCTCTTTTTTAATCCATGCGGGCTTCGCAGCATCCCTCTCGATCCTCGACGAAGACGACTTTTTCGTTGTTGTTGTTCTTAGTATGGCAGCGACTCGATGGGCCCGTGCTCCGACCTCTTTCGGAGTAGCTCAGTTTTCTTTTGCGCTTCTTCTGGGCGAGTCGCGCCTTTAGTTTTCCGCGCAGACGCACTGCGTCGACCCGACACTGGGGCGCACCTCCTCTCGTGCGGCGCGCCGCACCGTCCGTCTCGTCGGCATTGCGGGAAAGAAGGCACCGGTAGCGAGACTAAGTATTTTATCTACGTGTCTTCCTTTATTCTCCTCTTTTTTTCATGTTTTTGTCACGGGTTCTTTACTTATTTTCCTTCTCTCTTTGACAGCCGGACAGAAGTCGGTAGCGCTGTACGGTCCACTTGACTTGATTGCGGAGTTCAGTAACCTCGCTTGATACGACTATCCTTTCTAGTTTCTGCTTCTTCGTTTAAGACTTCTTTGTTCCTTTACATCCTTCCCCCCCCCCCCCCCGCTCTTATATTTCTCCTCCTTTTTATTTTTTTGGCCATCGCAGACAACTTGTAAGCTTGCGTAAGCCGGCCTTTGAAAATGGTAGCAGAACGCGAGAGAGAAAAAAAAGACCTATGCAACCCTGCGGTCAAATCGGGCGTTGGCTCTCAACGTCTCGCACGGCGGCGGCACAACAGTTCGGCCGACGAAGCCACAAAGAATCCGCCATAGTCTCTCCGACAGTGTACGGAAGGTGAGACACATATGCGCGCGGGATGGGAGGTGGTTCTCTCTCGGGGGGCACTCTAGAATCATCACCGTCGCGAAGCACTGCAAAGAACACCGAAGGCGGAGGAAAGGCAAAGGTCCCAGTGACGCCTTCCTGTACGGGCAACGTGTTGGCTTACCTTGCTCGTCGGCGGTGTTACACCTGAATGCCGGGGGACTCGGCTAATGGGCGCACTTCCGAGAAGAGGAACCCACGCGCCCGTGGCAGAACGGTGAACCCTTCGGTTACTCGGGGACGCCGTCTACCACCTGCCGTTGACCCTGTGTCACCACGTACACGCCTGCGTGCTTGCGTAAGCGCCTCACAAACTTAACGGCTCCTTCTTCTTTGCATTCACAAAAAGAGGCCACTCCGTCTAGAAGCACGGGGCCAGGAAGACGAATACGTGACCGGCGTGCCTTTTACTTTCTTGTGAGCCTGCATGTAAATTGAAGAAGGACTAGCGTATAACAGCTTGTCTTGCTGAAGGAAATGCGAATGCTTTTAGCAGTGGACGAAATCTCAGCCATAGCAAAAAAGCCAAGATGAACGGAATCTTAAGGGTGCCCCAGCGCTGCTGTTATCTAGCCCTGGCGCTCTTCGGCCGCGATAACACCCAAACTGGCTCACACGTGCGCTTAACAGAAGCCCATGGTCGACCTGTCGCGCTGATTTATCGCTTGCGCGATCACTTGTTGTGCATTGAATGTCGTAATCGACGACTGGGTCTAGCTGGTGATTTAAACTATCAGACGAAGAACTCATACTGGCACGACTTAACAGGGAGTTGTTTAGAATAGCGCGCTCCAAGTTAGCGGGCGTTGCGGGCGTACAGTTAGTGTTCGTTACTCAATGGGAGCCCACACGAGATAAGCGCACGACGCATGCGAAATTCAAACCGGCAGCTCTGCGTTGCGCTCCTTTAGAAATCTGAAATAAAACGCGTCTCAGCAATTTATTTAAATGTGTTGTTGAAATTTATAGCATAACGAAAAGTAGACATGAACACAATAGGAAGCGCGTATACCCCAGGAACGTTCTTTTCCGCATGCGAAATCGATTGAATCTCCGTAAATGATAAACTTACCGACGGCGTACTGACGCATCTTTCTGCCCTTGGAGAAGGCATGATAGCTGTTTCGCAAATAACTTCCCTTTCGTTATGTTTTCAAATTTAGTCATTCTGTTCTGGCTATAGGTTCCCTCTTGAAAAAGGGGAAGGGGGCGACAAAAATTTTAAAACCAAAGTAAAATATTTTATTGTCTGACTCTGGTATGGAGAGCGTTGATAGTGCACACCAAAGAAACGAAAGATGTCCCTTCTGGGGTGCCTCAAAATCGTGTCATCACGCCTTCAAAGGCCTGTTATGGGCATTACGAAAGTGGTGGGGAGCGCTAGTCACACAGAAATACAAACAAAACAACGACAGCAAATAAAAAAAGCAGTGAAAGTATATAAGCAATTGTTTCACGGCGTCCGAAAATATGCGCACAGAAAAAATGTACTCATACACTATAGTGTAAAATACAACGACACAAGCGGAGTGCTAATATGTTTCCAAGTGAGCTGTTAAAAGTTGTTTCGATATGCTT